CTCGAAAAAGGCCTGGAAATTAAAGTATTGACGCCAATTGAAAAAAATCAATTTTCATTCCTTTTATTTCCGTAGTGATCTCACACAATAGTGAATACCTAAAGCAAAAAAAAAAACTATTAAAATAAATAAGCTCGCAATATGCTAAAAAATAGTTCGATTTAGAAATAATTACTCCCGATTTAGTCCATAATTTTTTAATCAATATGATCGTATACATACGTGTACTTAAATAACCAGTAAATAAATTAATTATAATGCTTTTAAAAGCAAGTGCTCAACTATTTTATACGAAATATTGAAAATTGTGCAAACCTCCTGCCTCCTGTAACTGATTAAAAAAAAAAAAATTAATTAATGACCGTAAAGATGTCGTGCACTTCACTGTTGTGAGTCTATTTAAGTATTGAACAGTTAGCAAAATATTCCCTATTGGTTTCAGAATCGAAATAATATTAAAGAGCTATCTATCTATCTATATACAGAAGAAACGTGACTTTTTTCATTTGTTGGGGGTAAATATTATTTGACTTTTTTTAGATGTAGAATAGAAACACGTGTCTAAGTTAAAATAGGTAATATATAAAATGTCAAATGTCAGATGATTGAAAAAAAATTATTTGCAGGAAATTGGTACAGCAAGTACTCGAACTCAAGACATGCTTACTGAGATACTCTTATATTATAAGCAACATGCCTAGAGCTGTTACCACTATACTAATTCAACATTTTATTAATTTACATATAAATTCAAATAATTTAAATTAAATTGCCATGAAACATGTCATGTGATTTTATTTCTTAAATCATGTTAGACGTGACTAAAGGAACAATAAGCTTCGTGATTGATTATTTTTTAATGATTTATGTTGGAATTATATTTTGATACTCACCTTTATTATTTTACAACGCGTTATTCAAAATCATAACTATGTTTCATTTTAAGGCGCAATATTATTATTTCCTTACTTTGAATCATATTTGCTATACAAAATTAAATAATCACCATACTAGAATAATAGAACCCATTTATTTATTTTCTCATCATTGATATTTCTGGCAAAGTAATTTTGGTGATTATTCTATATTTTTATCCCATTTTTATATTTACTCAAATCAAAAACTTTATCAAATTTTTTTACATAAACCATTTGAAAAATGACATATTCTGTCACAAACTCGACCGCAACCTTTTTGAGGACTTGATGGATGAAGGGTTTGAACCTGAAAGGATAGGGTGATTATCTCTCGCTTTGTTATTTTTCAAGTTATTGTGAATCTTGCTTATTATGAAACGTATACTTAATGTATTTTCATTTTTATTTTGTATTTTTAATACAGAGGTCGTAATGATGTGGGTATTGATATAATATTCAAAGCTGATAGAACAATTTTGTTGTCCAAAGTAAAATTAGAAACGCAAGTATGTTTTTGAGAAATGTTTGTATGATTATAGATCAAGGGAAATGGATATCATGCTCACAAGGTAACCAAATGGCATAGACGATATCATAGTGGCACCCGCCATGGATCGGTTACGTTAATCTTCAATAAAATTTTGACTGACCGAATCAATTTTATTAATTGTCTTAAAGTATTTCCCCTTTCTTGGTAATTTCTTCTTGTTGAATTTGACAATGTCCTATATAGGTATATACTGTCATTACAGGATCTAAAACTTCTCATCACTTGATTTTTTAAAAAAATAAAGAATTGATTAAACTATTACAGTTTTTTTTTTACTTCCTATATGTAATATCTGAAACGCTATTCTCTACATATTGAAGTGACATAAGATGTAACCTGCACATATTAATTAATACATTAACTTATTAAAGGAGCTAAGTGACAAAACAGTTCATAAAATACATCCTTTTACTTAATATGTTCGTAGGCACAAGCCACCTATGGATTGAAATTATCTCTAAGTTGAGGATCAATGCTTATGATAGAAGGAAATCTATTAGCTTTACAATTAATAGAAAAGAGTAAATCCTAATTAAAGTCAGAATCTCTTATGTAGAAACTTTAAATGTGAATAATAGAAAATTGAGTATATATATGATCGTAAAATCATCGATTACACAGCTTTTTTGATTTCGATCTTTTTCATGCATGTAGATGTTATTTTGTTTTCATCAAAATCCGCAATACACATTCAATTTCCCTAATCTAAATACGTTAAATACAAATTCGTTAATAAAACTAACCAAAATTATAATATTCATAGCGGTGTATTGGACCATTATCTAATTTCATAAAATCATGCGCTTATTAAAAATTTAATACTAACAAATAAAATTGGCATTATACTTTTAAAAAGTATTTGCAGAGAGAAAAAAATCTCCAAATTGCTTTTTATTTTATGAAAATTTATTTAACGTATCAAAAAAATTTTAATGTGTGGGGAAGAAAAATAATATTTTTTTTTTTTGCTTTGAAAAAAAAACTATTAACTTAAATATCTTAAAATTAAGGAAATCATTTGGGAAAAGTTCGCAAAATAGGATTTAAGTTAGTGTTTATGTTTAGGGATAATTACATTATGAACTTAGAGTAATTTGCATAAATGCAAAGTTTAATTAATTGAACAGGACAATTATATCGTAACTTTCACAGGTAATCGCTGATAAATTAACAGTTATTATTAACAATGCATTTTATAAGTGGATTTGCAAATATCCAATTATGTAAAACAGTGAAGAAATTTCTGATAACCCGTGAAGTTACTCTAAATAATTATCTTAATGATATTATATATTTTAATAGCATCTCATACTATATCATTTGCTAATAAAATCCGTCAAGAACAAAGAAGATCTGAATATCCAGATTCTCAAGTATCTAATTAATCCACTAGGATTTCTTGTTAAAAAGTCGTATCACGTGAATAACAATCTAAATTTTGATATTATGAATTTAATTTTTTTGTATTTTACAATATTTATTTTTATTTTTCTGCAATTAAGTAATCGTATCATAATTTTCTTCTATTATTGGTAATTCGAAATAATCACACCGGAATCTCAATTTTATGATCGCAAAGAAACAATAGGCCATTATCCGACCCGAATGACGTATGAACAATATAGAAAAAAATTTTTTTTTTTTTTGTTATTATTAAATTTTTTTAAATAAATAATCGGAAATGCTAATAAGCCTTTGGCCTTGATTTCAAATTTGTTTATTGTTGAAAATCGGTTTGCACCTAAACGATAATAGCCATAATTATAATAAATCGTCATTTGTCTATAATATAAATTAGTATTATCAAATCAAAGTGTAATTTGTTTTTAATAAACAAATTTCTGTGATAATCGATCAATTATAGAATATCGGTCAATAATTTACATCGTAATCAGTTGTTCATATCTGAATAAATGGACCGAACGAACAAATCGGAACACCAGTTCCCACTAAAATAATTTATACCTTTTCAATGAAATACTACTCAATTTATGAATTTAAAAAATCTAATCTACGAAATGATTTTATTTTTTTTTGAGCATTGATGATGCTGATCTTCTACGCCTCAGAAATAGATCGACAATTGCATTGTATAAATAACGACCTTAAAAAGAAATGAACAATAAAAATTTGTTTATTTTATATTTTTTTAATAATGTCTGATAACGATAAAGGTAAATAAATATATTTACCTATAGACAATTAAAGAATAAAAAAGAAATATTGTATTTATTTTATTCGAACGTTGGACTGAAACGGTATTCTAAAATTTAAAAAAAATTGCAAAACAGAGCGGGTTTCGGATGTTAAGATAACCTTTTCATTAGAAGAATTAGAAGGTAGCACTTGAACTAATTTCCATTGATGAAGATAAATATAAATCATTTCTAATCATATGATTCTCAATTTATATTTTAAGCAAAACCAGCCAATAACTATTCTACGTTTGAAGGTAATGTAATTATAATAATCATTCTTAATTTATTTTTCACTATAAAATTTAATAAATTTATAAATTTGCGATACATTTATAAATTTATATGTTTTTAAGGTAAGAACAATGACGAAATTATTTTTAAGCAATTAATCATGGATTTTAATGATTTTTCCTTGATATTTATATGAAGTTCCGAGTGCCAATAAAATTTTTACATTTGAAGGTAAGTATAACGATGGACATTATAACCTATATATTATCATTTACATCAATTAATTATTTGCAGCAAAGCCACATTTAAATGCTAATATCTCGTTGAAGGTAAATATTAATTCATATATTGTCTTATTTTCTATATTTAAAAATAATTAATAAATTTGTAATAATTAGAGCCAGTTTCAAGTGTTTCAAGTGCTGATAAAATTTTTACATTTGAAGGTATTCATAATAATAAAAAATTATTTTCGATTTTTATTTTTTTTTAATTAAAATTTGGATTACAGTGCCAGGATTAAAAGGTAAAGAATCATTTATAAAAGTTTTTTATTTATCCTTAAACAAAAACTCGCAACGTATTTAAAGCTTCTACATAAGAAGTTAGAACGTATAAAATTTAAGTTATCATTATCCATCAATAATCAAACTCTGCTATCATACTTTCTAATAGGATCACACAACAATATAGATTCATCAACCGCATGGGATATTGATGATGGACGTAATCTTTTAAAAATAGATTCTATAGTTACTTATACAGGTGAGTTTATTATATTCATGTTGTAAAACAATTATAGTTTTACTGTTTTTGTATGTAATCACTTATTCTTGCATAACTACAATTATTTACTAATATAAAGGTCTGGGTGGATATGAAAACTGTGTTGCAATACGAGCAAATTTTCCAATTCCTGAACAATGTAAATTATTTTATTTTGAAGTTGACATTATAGATAAAGGGGAAAATGTGTACTTTTGTAAAACTTTGGAATTATATATAATTTGATTATTTTATTTAAAATTTGCTGGTAATTCAATTTTTCAAATTCATAGGGAGATTGGAATCGGGTTTTGCACAAAATCAGCTAGCCTAAATAAAATGCCAGGTAATTTTACTCGTCTTTTTATCAGCTTAATTTGTTAAATAATATTATTTATTGAATTATTTATATTGTAGGTTGGGAAGATAGCTCATGGGGTTACCATGGTCATGATGGACTAATGGTTTTTAACAGTGAAGGCAAGCCGTTTGGACCAAAATTTATGACCAGTGATACTATCGATACTATCGGATGTTGCTTAAACTTTAGAAATAATACGGTATTTTATACAAGAAACGGAGTGAATCTAGGTATATTACAAATTCGTGGTTATTTTAAGTTAAATAATAGAAATTTAATTTCTATTGTATATTTTAAGGTGTTGCATTTCGAGATTTGAAAAAAGCTTTGTATCCTTACGTTGGAATGATGTCGACAGGTGGTTCTGTAGGAGCAAATTTTGGCTATAGAAAGTTCAAATACACAGGTATACTTATTTAGTTTATTTTTTTTATTTTCTGCATTAATATTAATTATTCTTTAAAGGAGAATTGGGCTGAAATTCTTAAACCTTATAAATTAATAAGTCAACAGATTAATAGATTTACAGATTTAAAATTATCATCAGTTGCTGAACACATACTAAAATACCGAGGAAAGTTTTATATTGTTATAGGTGAATATGAACTAGCACTTTCAGATTTGAAAAAGCTGCTCGAGTTTGAGGCAAATAATACATTTGCATTAAGATATCGAGGAGAAATTTTTTGTATGATGGAAAAATATGAGGAATCACTTGCAGATTTAAACAAATTACTTGAAATCAAAGCAAATGATACATGGACGTTAAATGCTATTGAAGTAGTTAATAAGTTGAGTATAAATTTAGTTTATGTTAAGGATTAAATTTAATAATTCTTTTCTAATTAATAAAATATCAAATTTTCAGCAAAGATTTAAATGGTAATAGATTATTTATAGCAACAAGAATTGTAATTACATTTATGTATTTGATAATAAATAATTATTAAATAAATTTTTTAATTTATATTAATATTAATAGAATGTAAGCTATTTAATTTGTTAAATATATTAACTTATTATCTAATTAAAATATAATTAAACCTTTTAATTAAACTATATCTAATACCATAAGGAGTAAGTTATTTATAATTTTTTATATTGCAATTTAAACATAACTAATTTATTTTAAAAAAATTTTGATGGTATTTTAGTCAGTAAGTTATTTTTATGAAGTTATATTTTAATAATAACTTTCATAATAATTTTAACTGTCCAAATATTTATTTATAGAATGTAAGTTATATTTATTAATAAAATTAATTATAATCGTAACTACAATATCAATCAGAAATGCTAATATATAATTATTATTATAGAAAGTTAATATTTTAATTAATTAATCATATTAATCATACTTTTTATTGTAATAAAATTTAAATTCAACAAAATTTTTTATTTAAAAAAATCATTTAAAATTTTAGATTGTAAGTTATTTTTATTGATTATCAGTATTTAATTATACTTTTTACTATAATTTAAATTCATCTAAATATTTTATTTAAAATCAAAAAAACTACTAAAGAGGTAAGTTATTTTTATTGGTATTTAATTATACTTTTTACTATAATTAATTTTAAACTCAAATTTTTTATTTAAAATATAATTTAAAATTTTAGATTGTAAGTTATTTTATTGATTATTAGTATTTAATTATACTTTTTACTGTAATTTAAACTCAGCTAAATTTTTTATTTAACAAAAATAATTAATCATTAATAATATAATAGATAGTAAGTTATTTTTATTGATTATTATTTAAATATACTTTTTATTGTAATTAAACTTTTTATTTAAAAAAATAATTAATGATTAATAATATAATAGATATTAAGTTATTTTTATTGATTATCAGTATTTAATTATACTTTTTACTGTAATTTAAACTCAATTAAATTTTTTATTTAAAATCAAAAAAATTAATTAAAGGGCATAAGTTATTTTTATTGATTATTAGTATTTACAAGGCGAAAATCAGACTTGAAATACTTGCAGTAGGTCGCACATTCTGTATATTACAATTTGTAAATGAACCTATAACCATAGCAGACTATGATTTTCCTATGGAATCTAGGTAAAAACTAGTTCCATCAGTATTCTTGATGATAAATCCAAAGAAATATAATGACGAATTGTGAACAGGAAAACTGGCGATTTTTATACGTTCCTAATGATCTCTTGATACATCTTCATTTATGCATATGCAAGACTTAGAAAGTCTTGCTTCGAATTCTCAATATGACAATATACTGAAAATGAATAGAACTATTTGACCAATATGGATTTTACTGGTAAACAAAGGGCCAGACGAGAATTTCAGGCATTTGAAGAACATAAAATTCTATTGTCAACTTTTTAAAAAGTTCAACTTGAATTTTTTAAGTATAAGAATGCATGCTCCCAGCCAATCGAACTATAACCTAGTTGAAAGGAGCATAGCAACATTGTCTGGTAAACTCACAGGTATTACTTTGCTAATTGACCATTTTGGTACGCATTTAGATTTACAAGAAAAAGTTATAAACTTATAAATAGCCGCTCAGAATTTTCGCTATTCAGGAGAAGCTTATTGTGAAATTTAGCATCATGATTTGATTTTTGAAAAGAAGGTTAATGCTTGTTATATCTATATACTCACGAATCCATTTGAGCATATACAGTTTGAAAGAACAGAAAAAAAAAGTTGAAGAATTAAAAAGAAGTGAAAAAGAACAAAAAAAATCAAATGATATTAATAAAGAAATAACACATACCCATTCCAAATGTTTTGTATTATGGTTCTAGATCAAAAATATTGTAATTTATGCAACTATTCACTTGACATCAAACAATACATAAATGCTAGCTGTTGTATATCACCCAGAGTAAAGAAGCCATGGATTTTCTTCATTTGTATAATGGCTTTTTACCACCAATTACCAAAGCCAAAGATGGCTGATTCACAAACCTGATTCATTATCTTCAGTATAGAGATTTTCTGAAAATACCAGGTTATGATATCCAATGTGCGTTTATTGAAAAAAATACATACTTATGACTTTGTTATCTTATTTGTCAAAAATATTTTCCCACTCTCACATTCTTAACAAATCATAAATGATTAATGCATCCTACTGCCTGAGGACAGCCTAAAAGATAGCGAAACTCATCTTTTGATGATCTTTCTCTCCTTTCAACTCAACAAAAGAGGCATACAATGAAGTGGAAATTGAAACAAGAACTTGTAATTCAGATGGAAAATGAATAAATTTTATTAAATGTATATATATATATTATATCAATCTATAACAAAATTTTGTTAAGCCACTTTTATCGAAATATTATCTCATAAATTATCACGTGATAACATAGACTAGAATCACATGATATTATTGGTATGTGTAATCTAAGATCTTCATTATCCCTCCTACCCTCTAAGATATTAAGGAATATTTGACAGCGCTCTAACATCTATTCGTTAATTAATAAATACTATTAAAATTATTAAATAAAAAAATAAATTAAAATTAAATAACATAAATTGTAAATATTATCAATAAATTTATATTTAAAGTTTTAGTTTTATTTATTTTATTAAATATTATTTATTGTTATAAAATAACTAATTTTTTTTTCAATTTTAATTTCTAAAATAATATACTTTATTTAAGAAGTTAATTAATTATTTAATTACTGATATTAATTAATTATTTTTTCTTTATTAAACTTTTCTTAATTAAATTTAAATATTATAATTTTATATTAAAAATTAAATATATTTATAAATAAATACTTTTAATATTTATATTTTTAATAATAATAAATAATTTCTGTAATTATTGTTAAAAATAAAAATAATTTGCAATAAAAGATAATAAGTAATATAAATAAATAATATTAAATTTATTATTTTATCTTTATAAATTTTATATTATTTATTATTTCAATCAAGTTTTAATATAATAAATATATAAGATGATAAATTTTTAATATTTAACTATTCATATATGTTAAATATACTTTGTTATAATGAATCAATTAATTAAATTCTTTAAAATATTTATTATAATCTTATAATAAATTTGAATTTAAACCCTAATTATAATATCAAGTATTACTATATTTTTTTAATACATTTGAGTTAATATACTGTAGATAAAATAGTATTTTAATCATTTTATTTATTTTTTTTAATATTACTTTTTCTGTAAAATTATTCTAATTATAATATACTACATAAGTTTAATTAATTACTAAATTATATCATATAAATATTTTAAATTTCTTTTAAATTTTTATTAAAAAAATATTACTTTTACAAATTAAATACTTTTATATATAATTATTTAAAAATAGGTAATTATATTTACAATAACTTTAATATAAAAATTTATTATAACTTATATATATATATAATTATTTAAAAATAGGTAATTATATTTACAATAACTTTAATATAAAAATTTATTATAACTTATATATATATATAAAATAATTTTTAAATAAATAATTGTAATTAAAAATCATTAAGATAATTATTAATAGTTAAACTTAATCTATTTTCTTTATTAATGAATTCTTAATTTTTATAAGAAATCAAGTAGATCTTTATTTGATTGACCTTAATTCTATATGAAAAGAAAAAAAAAATATATGTTTATAAAAATATCAATTTATGAGAAAAATTATTATTATTGTATAATTAAGTTTAGTAATTTAATTACTTTAATAATCAAATTATATGATCTTACATATGATAATATGAAGTAGAGCCAATTTGGGGGTTCTGGGGTAAAATCGAAACAATACCCAAAATAGATCTCCAAGCCTTTTTCCAATTAATTTTAGCTATATGAATCAACTATAGAATTAAAGCTTCTAGCCAATTTTAACTCAATTCTAGATGATGTTATCGAA